AATGATAAAAACCAACAACAGGAAACATAGTAAGCAAAACGGTTAATACAGTACTGGAAACAATTGACTGTTAATGAAGGGATTGTATCTGTGAATGAGAGAGATGACATAAAACAAGAAAAAACAAGGGTTATTATAATATGAAAAATTAACCATTAATGGAGACACTGTATCTGTAAGTGAGAAAGACGGTAGGAAACAAGGGAGAGGAACTTGTTACGTTTTGTATGCAAGAATAAAACTGACCATTAATAGAAAATGCCTAATCATTTAACAGTAGAAAATGTTACTGTGACTAAATAGATTTGTGCCTATAGGCCTAAAGGTTTGTTTGTGTGTGTGTGTGTGTGTGTGTGTGTGTGTGTGTGTGTGCTTATTTTACCTAACAGATACACTGTTTTAAATACCGGTACCCTATCTGTGTCATGTTTACTACAGATTGATAGTACTCAATTGCTTCTGTCTGCAGACAATGAATAGTGTTGCTGATCCCTAATTTTACCAAGCAAACGTGTATTTCTTAAATGTCTTGCACCTTCCAATGAAGAACACTTTCTGAACGACTACAAGGTGGCTTCTGATTCTTTATGATTTCACCGCACTGTTTTAAGAAAGCAGAGATCTAAAACACTACTACTACTGCAGTAGGGTAAATTTTTGAAGCTTTAAGGGCACGCATTCTCCCACCACCACCACTTCTCAACTTGATAACTTACAGGTCAGGTGCAGCATTTCCAAAACTGGATGCTTCATTTAAATGTATAGAGAAGCCAACTGAATTTAAAATTTAAAAATAAAATAAGAACAAGTCTCAGGTGCATCCTAGTTAATTTTTACTTGGGTGTATGCATTACATTCAGCTCTCCCTTTACTTTCATGAACATGAATGCTAGTTACCAGCATTTCTCAGCAGTCTCCTATCAAGGTGATTATTTCATCCAGATCTGCTTAGCTTCAGCACGGCTTTCGCTTTTTCTTTTCTCTCTAAATCGGGACAATTCCTGGCCCAACAGATACTGATGAATGAGAATTTCTAGGCTCCCTCAACATTAGCTATGTTGTTTGGAATGGATGGGAGCTACAGTCCAACATCCAATGGATCACCTTTCCCAGTCCCTGCCTTCACTATTTAATTGTTCTCTAGGAAAGCATAGCTAGTGGCTTGCTTACAGTTTTATATGTTTGGGTTTTTTTTTAAAAAAAAACAATATCTGTTGAAAATGCAACAGAAGAGAAAGGATTTGGATGTCACAGCAAGCACACACACAGAATTACAACACAGGCACACATCAATACAACATGCTCAAGGCGCAGGTAGTTTTATTGTCAAAAGAATCAAAACAAACATAATAATAGATGTCTAATATAGTGAGCTGACAATGTAATAAATGCATTGGCAATGTGGCCACAGTCCAGAGTATCATTCAATGGAGTGTGTCTGACAGAGCTTTTAATCTCCTCCTTCAAACAGCAGCCTTGTGTCATTAAATGGCAAGCTGTATTTGAAATTTAAGGTACCATATTTTTCGCACCATAAGACGCACTTTTTTCCCACAAAACAGGGGGGTGGAAAGTCTGTGCGTCTTATGGAGGGAAGAAAACAGATAATATTTTCCTGTTTTCTTCTCCTAAAAAATTGGTGTGTCTTATGGAAAGGTGCGTCTTATGGAGCGAAAAATACGGGTAGTTTCAGAAACAGCACCATGGAATAGATAAACAGCCTATTCTGAAAACGGATGCTGCCTTTAAAATTGTTTCATGTACAAAATATCTACAAATCCTATTCCAACCACATTCATAGCTTTTATCTGAAGCAAGGCATTTAAAAACATAAAAACAAAAAGATTAGAAAACTGAGAAAATGGGTTTGCTCCAATGAGTTTCAGGCTAAGCAAAGCATTTAAATGAGGCCTCCAAAATCTATCATTTGGATTACCATGACTGTCAAATGCCATTACTATAGCCTTGATTATGCACCCGGGGAAAATAAGGATTTACCATTCTAGGGTTGATTTGGGTGAACATATGGAAATTGCACTGAAACCCATACAAAAAGGATGGGTTATTAAATTCTTTATAACACCTGGGTGGGATGTCCACAGTGACAGACTAGTTTTTAATATCAACCTCCTATAAAACAGAACCTTAATTGCAAGACTGAACTGGATATTTTTCCAAGTTTCTAGTTCAGAAAATTTCTTTCCTGACTACCCTATTTCCCTGAAAATAAGACCTAACCTGAAAGTAAGCCCTAGTAGGATTTTTCAGGATGCCCTTAATATAAGCCCTACCCCAAAAATAAGCCCCAGTTAAGTGAAACCCCCACCCTCCACCACTGTGCAGCAACCAGAAGAAGATGGCATGACTGTATTTGAATAAACGTAGATTGTACATGTAAAAAATAAGGCATCCCCTGAAAATAAGCCCTAATGCGTTTTTTTGGAGCAAAAATTAATATATGACCCTGTCTTAGTTACAGGGAAACACGGTAATGGAATAAGTGTAGGCTAAAAATAAATAGCTCAAGCTCTTTTATGTTCTGCAGTGTATTATTTTTTATTTGACAGGTGTTTCAAATCTGCTGTTCATGACATGGCCATGCTAAAGCCATAGTTCTAAAACAGTACATTAAATAAATTTCTCATGCTTTAAATGCTTAGGGCAAAAATGCCACAAACAGTTATTGACATTGTGTAGACTGAAAATCTTCTGTGCAGAAACTATTAATAATATTATGCAATGTGCATGGCATTCAGAACATGCCATAATATATATTTAGCTGTGAACCTAGATAGGTCTATCTGATTGGCAACTAATACAGTATTTCTGGGGTATATACAGAATGGCTGAGGTCTAATGATGGCACAGTCACAGACCAGAAATATGATTTCAGGTTTTGTCTAATACAGAGACTCCTAAATTCAACCATATGTGTTTTGACTTAAGAAGTATGGGCCATACAAGTTATCTGCCTTTTCAACCATTAGTCATCAAAGATTAACAAGCTTGAGACAAAAACTGTATTTTTAGATGCCAGATATTTCACGATGCTTAGGAGGAGGACCTAAGGCCTACCGTATTTTTCTGTGTATAAAATGACACTTTTTACTTAAATAATGAAACATAAAATTGAGGGTTGTTTTATACACAGAAGGCAGCCGCTTTCCCTGCCTTTTGCGAAGCCACAGGGTAAAGCAGCCATGTAAGGGTGGCACGCTCGCACCCCTTTGATCCTGAAGCAGACATGAAAGAGCTTCATGATCAAAGGGGTGCGAGCGTGCCGCCCTTTCACAGCTGTGTTACCCATTTCCTAAGCCCCATGGGGCCTAGGAAGTGGGTAATGCAGCCTTTAAAGGGTGGCAGGATCGCACCCCTTTGATCCTGAAGCAGCCATGAAAGGGCTTCAGGACTAAAGGGGTGCGATGGTGCAAATTTTCTAATTTGGGGGTTAGAAAAGGGGGGTCGTCTTATACATTGAGTCATCTTGTAAACAGAAAAATATGGTAATATTCAGAGAGATTAAGGGTATGTTGGGGCACTCTCACTGTAGATAGCAAGTAGTGACTCATATGATGGAGCAACCCTCTACACAAAATTTCGTTGCATATAAAAGATCACATGTCAGGGAGAAGTGGTAGCATAGCCTTATCCCTGATATGCCACAATTTCATGTTCAGGGGTGGGTTTTGTTTGTTTATTTTAGGTATGAAATCACATGAATCACTAACCGTATTTACTGTCTGTGAGTCCTGTATTCATGTGATTCAAGGGCAGAAACAGTGGATAATTTTTTTAAAAGTTTAAGGAATTTCCTTTGTTTCCAATATGTGTCCTAAACCTTTCAGGCAAAATATTTTGTAATTGCTGGTGACCAATGCAGTTCTGCACCACTGCAAATGAGACTTAAATATTTTATCTAGTGTGCCTACTGGCTGTGACTTTGCGGATTTGAAAAGTAAGATCTGCTTTCAAGAAAGCAAACACTGCTCTGCTAATGTTTTATTGCTATTTTGGTACAATACTGTTAGAATGGAAAGTAATTCTGATTCCAGTTGTTATGCATTGCATTTTCTTTATGACTTAGAATGTGAAAGAACAGAAGAATAAAAGAGCAGAGGTGAAGGAAGTATAATCAGATTTTAAATTAGAAAATTAAAAGAAAACTCACAAGAAAACATAGCAAGCCAGAAGATTAAAAGTGATTCTACCTTAAAGATACGACGGCTAAAAATATGCTGGTCAGACAGAAATCCATGACTGAGGCGAGGAAAAGCCATCTAGTCAATGGGTGGCAGGAAACACAAACAGGTCAACACAAATGTTATGAAGATAGAGAAAGCTGTGAAGGTTTGTTCAGCATTATACAAGAGAGAGACTCCAGTAGGGAAGAATCAGTTGGTATCATGAAATGAAATGCCCAAGATGAACCAAGAAACAGCAACAACTGCTACCAAGACAATGACTACTCAACACTGGTGTCATGAGACAAAGTTTTCCAGTAGTTTGACAAAGCCAATAAAAGCAAGAATCTTATTCACACATTAATGGGTTGCGGTTTAAGATAATGTACACCTTTTCTTTAACAAATAACACACATATTACTTCAGCAATCATGATTTGACAGTAGTGTCTCCTAGCAACAAATATACCTCCACCAAGGGACAATTCAAATGCCTTTCAGCTTTATAATGCTGGAATACTTTAACCATTTGGATAATACATTTTTTAGTTCTGTATTTTGAACAGTGACACTGAAATGTTA